TGCGAGAGGACCTTGAAAGTCAGTTTGAGAAGGGCCCATTCAGACTACTTACGCAACAAACATTCTCGATTTGTTGATAAAGTGAAATAGACACAAGGACCTATCGCAAGCATGCTGCGAAGAAGGCAAAAACGAGCTTGTATCTGATTCAGGATGGTAAAAAAGGTGGTCCGGAAGTGTCTGGGTTTATAAAATACACCTTGTATAGGTGATAGTCTGAGAGAGTAATGGAGGGAAGCTGAATTTCGAAGAATCCCATAATAAATTCGTGTTGTCGTACCTTTAATTTGATCTAAGAAAGTGGGTAGAGGGGGTCTGTTAATTTGCCTCATCGGAAACCAAATGAGTTGTGCCTGGATTTCTGCGAAGAAATCTTTAACTATACGAAGTAGGTAGAATTGAAATCATCCACCTATCCTATTGTATGGCTTGGAGAAGATTAAAAGAAAATAGCCTCATGCCCTGATGATATCTACCAAATGGATGGATCGGGGTCGCAGAATGGTGCACTGAGGACCTCTTGGAACAAATACACAATCGCAACTGCAATTATTTCGATTTCGGATGAGGCCAATTTGCTAAGAATCCCTTTCATCCACCATTTTAGACGAAACGAAAGGTAAACAATAGAGGAGTCAGCCTGAGAATACTACCAATCAATATAAAACTTATCTTCTCAAGATAATAAGGTGCCCCAAAAATCCGGATTTCGGATCCATCTATACAGAAAATCGGTAAAACGTGAAAGATTACTGAGGTGATAAATCTATGGAAGATCACTCTGTAGTCAGGAAAGAAAAGAAGATCAGCTAGGCTAGTTTGGCTTTTTATGATGAAATCGAGAGAAACGATGAGAATAGTCTGAGAAGCGACTCGTTATTTGGGGGCGCCAGGGCGAGCTCAGTAGGCAGCTGTTTTAGTCTAAAAAATACGGCCATTCAGGCTGTATGTCCGTGGTGTACTGGATCGCCATGCATTTAGTCATAGAAGAGTACATCGTTAAAAATAAATAGTAGGCCATCTCAGGTCATTAGGCTCAATGATCCTAATTATCTTAAAAGGCCATATTTTTATTTAAAAAATAAGGAGACATAAGCTTTAAAAATGCTTCCTTCCTGCGCTATTAGCCAGATTTTAAACGACATTAGCTGACTGAAGGTATGAAGATCAAGATGGTGTGACCTTTTGTGTGGTCGCAGTCTCCTTTCGTTGTATAGAAGTTTTTTGACCTTGTTTTCGCAACTTGGTCATTTTGGTAGGAAGACTTAGGAGAACGCACCTAGTCCGGAGTCCATTGTATGCATGATCATTTCCAAAATCGGACCGTGGATGTGGTACCACGTCTATGGAAGTGGTCATGCATACAATAGACTTGGGACTAGGTGCGTTCCTCTAAGTCTTCCTACCAATATGATCAAGTTGCGAAAACAAGGTATTAGCTGATGTTTATAAAGCCTTCAGAAAGAGAGCGAAAAAGTATAGGAACAATTTACTACTCACTTGAATGTCGCTCTTCATTAGAGAAGATAGCATAATGGCGCCACGGTAGGCGGAATGCGGGTGCTCGAGAATCTGGCCATGACTGCTGAGAAGGCGCTGAAGAAAGCTGGCCTGCCGCCGATGGAAGAGATTCTAGATCCCGAAAAGGAAGTTGCGCCCATAAAGTGAGAGTAAAGTAAAGGAATAAAAGAAATAAAGTAATGCAAGGGGAAGCAGA